AGGAAGAACTCGACGAGTCGGCGAACTGCACTCGACGAGTTGGGTCAACATGGACTGTTGACCTTGACTGTTAACTTTGACCTTGACCAGGGGTTGACCAGTTGACCTCTAGGGGTATTTTGGTAGATTGAGAGATTTATGGAAAAAGGGTTTATGGTAACTACAGGTGGTGGAGTTCCTGTTGGTGATTCAAGAGTTGAGCCTATCATTTTCAGTGCGGCATTGTGAGGTGAGTTATCCTCACTATATCAATAGGGTCTAAGGCACCAATGCCGACCCTTATCGGATTTATATCTGGGTTTATTGCATGATATGCTTATTGATTTACATCCTGGTAGTTAAGATGGTGATATGCTTAGTGACCTGGTTAGGTCGGTATCCTGGTATATAAAGGATGATGCTATGTTAGTGACCGGTTAGGTCTGTATCCTAGTTATAAGATGTTGCTATGATTGATGATCTGTTAGATCGGTTGACTGTTGTATATGCTAGCGTATGATATATATGTGCACATGTTGTTTGATTGGGGGTTTAGGTTGAGGCAGTCCTGCTTTGTGCTGAAGGCCAACATACCCAAGGCGGTCCGGATAGACTACAGACCCAGGATGGTATGATAGTCAAACCGAAGGCCCGGCGAGCGGTCCGGATAGGCTGAAGGCCCGGCGAGGCGGTCCAGACGTGTCGAAGGCTCGGAGAGCGGTCCAGATAGACTGAAGGCCTGCGAGGCGGTCCAGTCAGGCTGAAGGCTCATTATGTATGCTGTTTTGTATTTGCTGATATGTTATGAGTATGGTTATATGAGGTTGGTATTTTGGGGGTAACTCACTAAGCATTCGAGCTTACATTTATCGATTATTGTTTCAGGTACTTCTGATGATCGCGGGAAGGTAAAGGCGTGATCGTACCGCTCCTCACATTTTATGATTTTATGATTTAATCCTTAAATACTCTGACAATATACTATTTTGAAAACAAGTTTGTAATAATCACGTGTTTTGAAATGTTTTAAAAAGTTTTAATTTGGCTTGAATTTTTGGGTGTTACAGCGGAGATTTTAGCGGGCCAACAACCAAATATTTATTTGTGAGATTCAGCAACATGATGTGAGTTTCCTCACCGTGTTTATCGGTTCGAAGACACCAATGTCGGCCCATGGTTTGATATTTTAGTATGCTAGATGCTTGCGTGACTCTTGCATGTGTTATGTGTATATGTTTACCGGGTGGGACTCGATGCCAGGCGGGGCCCGATGACTGTACTGTATGAGGTATTTAGAGAGAGAAAGAGAGGGTAAAAGGTGTGAGGAATGAGGCTGCCCCGCACCTCTATTTATAGGCTGGAAATCTGATCAACTCGCCGAGTCGGAAAACCTACTCGCCGAGTCCATGCCACATGTCACGATCTGGTGGCTAGCCGTGAGGAGGAAGCAACGGCCAGGATTTCGCCACGTCACCCGATTTCGCACAACTCTTTCCCGACTTAGAAAAATCATAACTTTCGCATACGAGCTCCGTTTTCGACGTTCTTTATATCCACGCGTAGGTGGGATCATACTCTACAACTTTCGTTTAGACTCCATCGGCTAATTTTGATTTAATTTTTACAGTTATATTTTTAACAAGCCGGGACAGGAAAAGTCCGTTAAAAATTCATAACTTCTTCATCTGACGTATGTTTTCGTTTGTCTTTTTACCGTTATGCTACTAATATAATATGAACCGATGAAAATGTCAGCATAGTTAAGATAAAGGTTAAAGATCTGTGATAGTGGTCCCCATTTTTTATAAAAATGTTAATAATAAACATGTTAATAATAAATAAATAAAATACATAGGGTAAAATAGTTTTTTTTTTAAAACTAATTAGCGAATTTAAAGACAACTATTAAGCATATTAGAGACTATTTGAATTGATTTTAAAAAATATGGACTATACATACAATTTGACATTTGGAGTAGGAATGCATCAATAATATTTAACAACGTTAAAAAAAAAAATAGGCCTTTAACAGTTATAAATCTGGCTAACGAGAGGACAATAAGTTATGTTTGTAAGAGAATCTTATAAAAAAATAAAAAATATATATATACAAGATTTAAGTAAGAAGTAAAAGGCCATAAATCTATGAAATTGAGGAAGGTTTTATTGTCCCCATTTAATCAAAAACAGAAAAAGACAGAAAAGTAATGGAACAGGGACAATGGAGAGTAGTAGTATGTAGGGTTATACAACACAAACACCAATTTTTACAGACCTCCACTTCTCGTTTATCGGTCCATCCCTTCTTCACGAATATCAAGGAATTTCTATTTCTTTCTCCCTTTTAATTAAATTTAAATCCCCAATTCTCCATTTTTTTTCACAGTTTTAATAAATTTTAACCCCTTACAATTCCAATCCCATTTGGCATTTTCATTCAAAGGAAGAAGAAGAAGGTAAACAACAATCTCCTTTCCACCTTCCATATAATATACATACATTATACGTAATTTCTTCCGTAACTTTAGTTTTAATCTTCATCGACCCATATGATTATGTAATCCCTGTCGTCATCGTTCTTCAAAACGATGAGTTTTACGTTAATTTCTACCGACGAGACCAGGTTCCATTTATCAATGCAGAAAGCATATGGAGGTATGGTTAACGCGGAGAGATTCAATGGGCGTTGGATCTGGATCCACGACAGATATATTGGTTGTTCTTTAATACTGTATTATAATAACAACAAATAATTACATTAGCTGTTAGAATATATATAATTGCCTTTACTGATCTGGGTTGGTGTGTAATCTTTTTATTGGGGTTTTAATTTTTAATTAATATGTTTGGTATGTTCATTGCCTAGGGCTTAAAATGGTTGCTTTCTTGAGGTGACGTTCATGGGCTGAATTAAAAAAACAACAAAAACATGAATAGCTCATGCGAGGAAGACGAGTATCGATTTTTCGATGCTCCCGATAGCATTGGCTCAGTCGACTCGCTGCCTCATCCTGTTTCTGAACCTGACGAGATTAGCCATGGGGGTGATGATGACGACGACTCTGTGCCTAATGATTTCCAATATGATATATGGGCCAATGCTCCTACAAGTGTTCTCCAACGAAAGCACACTTTCCTTCGATTAATGGGTTTAAGCTCCGAGGAAGACGATCATATTCTATGTAATGATACGGTTGACGACGATGTGGTGATACGGGAAATCGAAATCGACGATAGAATTATGCAGACCAGTGGAGCCGTGCTGAGAACCCCCATTGTAGAAGATGATGAACAACAAGAAAAAGAAGAATCTCCGGTTAGTTCCTCTAATTCAGTCTGGTGCGACGATGCCACATGTTCTTCGTCTACAATTTCCAGAATTGAAGAATCTAATGGCGGTGGGGAGTGCAAGGAAGAAGAAGAAGAAATTGGAGGGAAGTTATTGGCGACAACAGATATCATACCAGCTCCGGTCGTTCAGAATTTGACAGATAGGCTTAAGGTCGCCGGGACAATGGTGAAGACGATGAACAGAGTAAAAGGTCATTTTTTTGGTAGGTTACGGTCAATGACGACGCGTAGGTCTGATAGTTTGGCACTTATGCCACCACCTCCGCCACCACCGGAGCCCCAGTGGGGGAAAGTTCAGAGAGTCAGAGTTCGTCAAAATAAGAAGAGATTAAAGGAACTATCGGCTGTATTTATCGGGCAAGATATTCAAGCTCACGAAGGTTCAATTTTAACCATGAAATTTAGTCTTGATGGGCGTTATCTTGCTAGTGCTGGAGAAGATATGGTGGTCCGTGTTTGGCAAGTTGTTGAAGATGAAAGATCCGATGAAATTGATATTCCAGATGTTGACTCCTCTTGTTTATACTTCACTGTGAATAATCTTTCAGAATTGACACCATTAACGGCGGACAACGAGAAAGAGAAGGAGAAACAGAAACTTAGCAGGATGAAGAGTATGAGAAAAAGTAAAAACTTAGCCTGTGTCATCTTTCCTCCTAAAATTTTCCGGATACTAGAGAAACCAGTCCATGAGTTCCATGGACACACCGGCCATGTCCTCGATCTCTCATGGTCCAACAATAACGTGAGTGTCGTCAATCATGATTAAGAAAAACTACAACTCTGGTTTTTTGATCTTGAGGAAGTGATTGAAAATTTGTTTTTGATGTTATAGTTTCTTCTATCGTCATCGGTTGATGAAACAGTTCGATTGTGGAGAGTTGGAAGCGATCAATGCCTTCGAGTCTTCCCGCATAGCAACTATGGTATTGATTCTGTCTCAAATGGATTAATTTTATTCATATATTACTTAATCGTGATGATACTTGCTTACATTTGATAAAACAAAATGCAGTGACATGTGTGGAATTTCAGCCTTCGAATCAAAATTATTTTATAAGCGGTTCAATCGATGGAAAAGTCCGAATGTGGTCAGTTTCTAAATGCCAGGTGGTCGATTGGATAGATTTACGTGAAATAGTCACGGCTGTGGCTTACACTCCCGATGGAAAGGTTCGACACTATACCATTCCCATTCGTATTCATTCATTACAAAATCCAATTACTAATATAAAAAAAAAAATTCCAGGGTGGCGTCATCGGATCCATGAACGGTTGTTGTAGTTTCTTCAGCTTACCAGAAAATCAGTTTCAAATGGAAGAATCGGTTTACCTTAATAGTAAAAAGAAGTCACAGAGGATAATCGGTTTCCAGGTGATCATTGTTTCCGAGTCTTTTTAGAGTTTAAATTCATATCACACTTCAATAACATAATACTGATAAATGGTCATTGCATTACATTACAGTATTACCCACAAGATCCAAGTAAACTTATGGTGATTTGTGCGGATTCCCAAGTCAGAATCCTCAACGGCATCAACGTGGTTGGGAAATTTAAAGGTCAAAGGACATCTACAAATCCGATTTGTGCAACCTTCACGTCAGATGGGAAACACATTGTTTCATCAAACGAGGATTCAAATGTATATATTTGGAACTGCTATGATCAAAAAGGACTTTCGTTTGACCAAAATAAGACTGTCACATCCTACGAATGTTTCTCTGCTAACGCCTCGGTTGCAGTCCCGTGGTCTGGTTTTGTGGGCGGTGGAGGGGAGGTGGAGGATGGGTGGTGCCGCTCATTGCCGCCATGTTACTTCTCCCAGTACTTTACAGAGTCGATACCAAAAGCTTCTGCGACATGGCCAGAAGAAAAACTTCTGGCATCCGGTCCTAGTCAGCCACCTCCACCTGGCATTTCAAAGTCACTGTCAAAGTCACTGTCAATGTCCATGTCCTTGTCAACTCCGTTACGTAAATCTGATAAAAAATTTGTCCGATCGTCGTCTTCTTGCTCGTATAATTGTCACACATGGGGTCTTGTGATCGTGACAGCTGGATGGGATGGACGGATCAGATCGTTTCTCAACCACGGGCTACCAGCTACTGTTTGAGATTTTTTTTTTTTTTAAAAAAAAAAAACGGAAAAGGTTAAAGTCTTGGTGAAATGAACATAACAAGACCATCAGTTTAATCATGGGGTACAAAGAAAACAGCCAATCCTGCCTTATTTGATTTGGGGGATTCTCTGAATCAAGGCTTATTCGAGAAAATCATGTGTTCTGGCCCCGGGTAGAGGTGGAGTCATCCGGGCAGGTGGGGGCCTGTATCCGGGCAGCAGGTACGGAAACAGGAAGGGGTTGGTTGTGACTTTTTAGGGAGGGCTAGAGAAGCAGTGATGAATGATTGAGTACAGAGTGGGGTCAAAATGGGCAGAAATGGCGTTTTATGTGCTTGTATGGCTTTTACTTTTGGTCCAAGCTTTCTTCTGATAAAAATGGGGGGTAAAAAGCAAAATATGTTCGTTCATGACTTTATTAGTGGGAGATTGAGGGGTGATAATATATTGTCTTTTACAGTTTACTTTACTAACAAAGCTGTCATTGGTGTCTGGCATTCTGTATTTTGTATTTTGATGCCGTATAGATTATAGACTAGCAACTAGCAAAGGGTATTGGGTTATTTTCTGGAGTAGCTCCATTGTACATAACTACCCCTTCATTAGGTTTTCAAACTGTATCTATAATTTTGGCTCTAATGATTTTGTGGCAAAATAGATCAACATTTATCAATCATGCACTTACTTTGTTTCATAGTTAAATTAATTAGATAAATTTCATTGAGTTTCTACCAAATTACTCAAAAGGAACAACAGCCAGTGTATGAAGAACAAGAATCAGCATGCGAATTCCAATAACACCCAAATGGATACTAATTCTATACCAAACTGTATTTGATAAGAACAAATGATATTTGCATATAAGCACAAAATGAAAACTTATAATTCTTGGGGATAATGCAGGATTTATAACCAAGTAAACACAATGACACTTTAGCATTCTGAATTTCTCATAGTATCAAATAAAGAGCATCTACAATTTGCTTGAATAGTAGTTTGATGACAACATGATACAATGATTTGCGAAACCATTTCAAAGCAACTTTCTTCAAGCGGAGGGCCAACACAAGATACAATAATTTTCGAAACAAAATAAAAAATATATCATCCAGAGAAGTAAGAAGTTCAACCAAAAGTGAAACCGTAATTAAGAGATCGTAGCATTACAATAGAATCACATCAACTCAATTATACGACAATATCAAGAATAACATCGAAAACTCAAGTACATACTTTTTGTTCTTGGATTCTGGATAGGATCAACAGATGAGAAGAACGATTTACACGGGGAGATCCTCGACGGAGGTGGGGGTGTGTGCGGAACTATCGGATGCTGGAAATTGGATATTTGTTTGCATGAGAGGACGATCTTTGGCTTCTTCTTCGTTCTCATCGTCGGAATCGGAGGTATTCAGGTTGACGCAGGAGAAACGTTCCAGCGATGCGAAGAACGCCGATGCCACGTTGTTGCCGACCCAACAGGCTACTCCTTCGAGCTTTTCGTACGACAAGATACTCGGATTCTCCATCTTCGACGAATTTCTCCGATCTGTGTTATATTGACTTTGATCTGGTCTTCTTTCTGTCCTAATTTGATTACGGGAATGCAAACCCTAGAACACAAGGGGAAACTTACAGCCTACAGAGAGAGTTTGTGGAAACTTAAGCGAGCAAAGGCATGCGTGTCATGCGTGTGCTTTCATTTTTGAAATAACTCCCCACGGGTCTATTTAAGTAACACTCGACACAAATTTTAAATTTGTTCGTTAGATTTTCAGAAATTGGAACTTTGTTTGAGTAAATTATATTGTTTTGACATCTTTTGCATTAAAATTCTAAATTCAAAAATCATTTTGTGTCTTTTTTTTCAAAAGAATAATCACACAAATATCGTTTCATTATCAGAAATAAAAACAACATTTTCTCTCCAAATTTTCTTCCAATGCTCGTCACACTTCTTATTGCTATCTTGTTTTCATTAAGACAAAGAAAATTGTTACTCATTTTTTATTGGAACCCAAGCTACTTTTTCTTCCAGACTTTTTTTCTTCCCAAATGATTGTCTTTCTATAGCTCGCCTTTTGTTAACATATTCAACATTACGTGCAACAATAATCGTCATATCAAAAATGGTTGCACGTTTTACTGTTAATTCACATTTTCATGGAATCCCGTTTGCATATCGATTAATCCTTTAATGTTTGGTGGGGTAAACATTCTCAACAATAAGAATCATATCACTGAGCTTTTTCGTATACTCAATCACGGACATGTTACTTTTTTTCAAGGCAACAAATTCTTCTTCTCAAGTGGTACAAAAACTCTCCTTCAATCTTTTGGTGAATTTCGGTGAATACCTCCGAAAACCATTTATAGCGTCTTCTTCCCCAAAATTTCGTCTAAAATATTGTAACGTTCGCGTTTCTCGCTGGACATTAATAAAATGATGTAATTGTAACATTTTATGAAGTTAATAAAAATAATTATCTGAGTATTATGTGATTTACGTAGTTATGTGTAGTATATATGCTTAAAACAATATAATAAAATAGGAATAAAATATACGTCCAAAATAGAATAATAATTAGGACGAATAGTCTTGATGAAAGAGGAAGTAGTCGTGATGATGATCAGTGGCGGAGCCAGAGTCAAAGTAAAGGGATATCCTAAATTTTTTTCCAAGGTATCACGGCCAATGTTACAGAACTCGCTACTCAGTACATGTTCGGTCGACTAGAGAATAACGAGTACTTAAGTGTTAAATACACAATAAACAACACATGCTATATGGATTCTTGTCTCATGTATTTTAATTGTATGTAAAAGCAAGAATGTATAAAGAAAAGGCAATTTTGCTTTATTTCCTATCACGTAATTTGAATACCAGTTCTAAAACAGAATTAATGCGTACATATGCATCTGACCACTAACTAAAGTGTTTTTTTTCCACACATATGTACCTGCGAAGCAACGGTTATATTTATTATATGTGTGATACAAACAAAGGCAACAATTTGTTTGAGTGGTTAATGATTTATCATTTAATCTTGAGGTCTAGCTATCGATTCTTGTCCAAGACGCAATTATATTTTGCCATACTTATAGGGCCATCCCACATCGCCTGTAGAATTAAACTATTGCAATTCTCACCATTTATATAAGGAGAGGTATTTCAATCTCTTTTAAGCCTCAATCTTTGAAGAATCCCACATCGGTTGTGAGATAAACATTCGGCTCTCTTCATGCCTATATAAATAAGAGTTTCTCAAGATCTCATAAGTATTCATGCTCCTTCTAGGTTCAAACGGAGCGAGTTGGACCGAGTCGAAAAAACAAAATTTTTCGAAAAAAATTAAACTATTGAAATTTTTTTGAGGGATATCCTAGGCTACCCCTTCTAACGAAGAAGCTAGGCTACCCCTTATAACGAAGAAGTTATGATGCGTTAAAGTTTCGCGTTCTACCAAATACGGTATTTCAATCTCTTTTAAGCCTCAATCTTTGAAGAATCCCACATCGGTTGTGAGATAAACATCCGGCTCTCCTCATGCCTATATAAATAAGAGTTTCTCAAGATCTGATAAGTATTCATGCTCCTTCTAGGTTCAAACGGAGCGAGTTGGACCGAGTCGAAAAAACAAAATTTTCCGAAAAAAATTAAACTATTGAAATTTTTTTGAGGGATATCCTAGGCTACCTGTTAGGTGCATTTCATTTACCCATTTTGTAGCTTTATTTCATAAAAGTACATTGCATATAGGCTTAAACTCATGCATTTTGCATGTTTT